TTGTAAATTTGAAGGAAATTTGATAAAATACGTGCAGAAGAACTTGGATATCAAAAGTTTATGGATTATGAGTGTAGTGTGGGATAATCATAGTTACACACACATATATAGATACACATAATTATGAAATCATATAATTTAAATCAAACAATCGTAATTATATACAATTACACATATATAGCCGCACGTGATAGTAGTCATACTATAATTTAAATCAATCAATCAGTTGTAATTATATATAATTATACATATATAGACACACATAATTATAGTAACACTAATTTAATCAATCAATCGTAATTATACATAATTATACATATATAGGCGTATGTAATTGTAGTAATACTATATTTAAAATCAATTAGCCATAATCATACATATGTGGACGTACGTAATTAAAATAAAACTATAATCTAAATCACTCAACCGTAATTGTATATAATTATACATACATAGACACGTAATTGTAGCCATACTATATCTGAAATCAATCAACCGTAATTATATAATTATACAAACATAGATGCACTTAATTATAGTAATCACATAATTTAAATCAATTAGTCATAATTATATATAATTACACATATATATTCAAATATATATGGTAGTTTACTTATTTAGTACGTAATCTTCCTAATTTAACTCTCACGTATAATGAAGTTTTATTTAAATCCATCCAATTTCTCACTATATATATTTACGCATACGGTAGTTTACTTATTTAGAAATGAATCTTTCTAATTTTTCTTTTATATATATGGAAATTATCTTTCATATATATAGAAATTTACTTAATTTGCATAATCAATAATATTATATACATATATAGATGCACACAATTATATTAATCATATATTTTAAATCAATCAATTATAATTATATATAATTATATTCATATATAGATGTACCTAATTATAGCAATCATACAATTAAATTAATAAATCATAATTATATACATAATTTTATATATACACACACACACACACACACACACCCCATAAATATTCATAGAGTAAATATATAGTTTAGGGAATTGCACTCGAAGACCTTCAACTATTGGTCGATGTGCAATTTGGTCCTCTTAACTTCCATTCTTTTAAACTAAGGGTCTAATTTTCATAATCAATGATTATAAAAGATTTGGGGGGTATTATAAGTATGCACAAGGCAATGTGGACTAAGTTAAACTTCAGTATAGCTTTTTACCTACAATCAAATGGCCAGTCGAAGAGGACTATTAAAATTCTTAAGGACGTGCTTTGAGCATGCATCCTAAATCTTAGAGAAAGGAAGCTGGAAAAAAATCTACCATTGGTAGTATTTGCCTACAATAATAGCTATCAGACCACCATAGGAATGACCCCTTCTGAGGCTTTATATGGTAGATAGTGTAGGTCTCCGACTCATCATTGGGATAAAGTCAGTGAGAGAAGAATTTTAGAGCATGAGATTATAGGGCGTATAGTCCAAGCTATTGAGAAGTTTCGGGACAGAATTAAGACTGCACAAGACCGACAAAAAAGTTATGCAAATAATACGAAAAATGATCTTGAGTTCAAAGTTGGTGACAATTTTCCAAAATAGCACCTATGAAGGGAGTCATTCGATTTAGGAAAAGAGGAAAACTTCGACTAAGATATAGAAGACCTTTTGATATTTTGAAACGTGTAGGAACTGTGGCTTACGAGTTAGCATTGCCTCCAGAACCTTTAACATTATAGAATGTCTTTCATGTCTCTATGTTTCGAAAATACGTATTAGATCCTAATCACGTGATTAATCCTCAATCGTTAGACATTCATCCAGATCTAACGTACGAGGAAGCTCCAATAGTCATCTTAGATAGGAAGATTCAAATGCTTCGGAAAATAGAAATTCCACTCATAAAAGTTCAGTAATGAAATCATGCTGTGGAAGAGTCCACTTGGGAACATCAGGTAGATAATAAAGCTAAACATCCACAACTTTTTGATAATCAATGTAAATTTCTAAGATGAAATTTTTTTTGAGGGGAGGATGTAATAACCCAAACATACGTATAATACATTTTGAGGAATAAATGCAGATTTTGAGATTTTAAGGTAACTTAGCAACTTTACCATTTTCTAAGGACCTTATGTTAATATTTCTAATAACTGGATGTATATGAGTTTTACATGAAATTAAATTTTAATATTATTTTGGATATTTATTAAAATATCTAATACAAAAGTATTTATATACAACTTGAAATTTACATATATCTACACTGGAATCTTATTATCATGTAGTTAGAATTTTCTTAAATTCGAATTTCATGATAAGTTTGTTTGTTGAAAGACCAATCTAATTTGAATTAAGAGTCCTATTAGTATTCTAATTAGTTAAGTATCCTTATCTAATCACACCTATAAATACCCTCTTGTTATTGCACTTCAATTCACATAAATTCAGAGAGAGAGAGAGAGAGAGAGAAGGAAAAGGCAAAAAAAAAAAAAAAAAAGCCTTTTGGCGCGTTCGAGATCTGTTCACAAGAATTTTCAGTCCTAAATAGTTCGAGTACACAAGAAATTTAACGGATATGGTATGGATTTCTTTAAATGCCAAGTATTTTGTGTTTTCACTTTTTAATGTTTTAAGTTATGTATTTTATGTGCTATTATGTGATCCAAATTAAAGAAGAATCTTGTGGGTAATACCATAGGGTACTATTATATAGATCTACACAAAAACTAGCCATAAGGGTAAATGACCTAAGTAAGAATGAGATGATCAGATTTCAATCCCATAAGCAAATTACGCTATGTGCATATTTTAGTTTTTACTTACTTTTTATATTAAATTGTGAAAATATTGGCATGAAATCTATATTGGGTGTATTCGTATACTCATTTCATATTCTAAATTATTTTTACAGATACTTGATGGATTGGAGTTGGAGATTGAGACTCCTTATAGAGTCCGTATCGCTAGTTCAATAATTTTATTTTCTTTCAATATTTAGCATTTAGTTTAAAATTATTTTGCAAATCAAAATTTCATTTTCAAAATCGATGAATTTATATTTTATAGAGAATTGAATTTATTTAACATATTATGCGACAATAATTTATTTTGCAAAGTTCTTCAATTTTATTTTATTTTTTTGGTATTACAATGTGTCAATCAACTTTTATAATGACTAAAGGAATTATTTGAGTACTTTCGGGACAAAGATTTCGCGGCGTTACAGCAACTACCAGAATGAAATATTATTTGGCACCTACTGAAGATAGGTCATCAAACTACGAGAGTTTCACCTTTTTGAAGGGCCAATTGCGTAGAGCGACCTGTCCAGGCCGAGTCGAACTACTCACTCTCTGTTTCGGATGTACATCCAATCTCTGATTTCAGTCCATAACTTCCTTGAATATAGCTCTTGTTGCTCTTCTCTGGCTAGGATGTCACTTATATGGCCAAAGATATTAGGGAAAGGAGAGTGAGGGAAAGCCCTTTTTCACCTATATCATAATGTCAAAGTAAAGGAAAAGATCGTATGTGCACGCTTGGTGCCTTGAGTTAATGCCCAACCAAAAAGGGATACAAGTCTCATGCAAATGAAGGGCAATTCAATAACTTAAAAGAGCTTTTAAGTCACTCATTTATCAATTCATTTCCACGTGAATACCATTTAGTTGACCTATGCCTATTCGAACAGCCTCAATTAATCTGCCTTCCTTCGGGAATTTTAGGCTGCTGCCAATAATGGGGGTATTGGCTTTCTCCCCTATTCATAAAAAAAAGCTCAATGATTCAATGGATGTATGAAGTCATGCAGAGGACAAAATAGAAAGAACTGTTTTACACTACTCTCACTGCTATCAAAATGTAGCAGAAGTACCTTGTCACGTGCCTCGGGCTGGCTACTCAGAGCCTTGTAATTGTGATGATGTTAGAGACTAATGAGAACACTCAAGGTCTCGGGAAGTTGATATTTCACATTTTGAATTAATACCTATTAATGAATAGCTAAGGATTGAGAAATTCCAAAGGATTTATGTCTGAAAGCAATATAAACTTCCTTCAAGAGTTTTGATATATTTGCTAATTATAACTCCCCAACCATTAATCTATAATACCGATGGAACTCATGATGAATGTCAAAAAGAATCTTTGAAAGGACATGAAAATGCATGGAGACCAGTAATATCAACCAGCACCCAACCTATACACAGCACTTGTAAGTTTAGAGATTGAATAGCTCCATCAGAAGCTCCAAGCTAATGAATCTCTGAAGGAAAGGGACAAACTTAAAAAACTATCATCACTGCTTGTTTATCTTCGCACATTATTTTCAGTATACTATCTTATTGTACTTTACAAAGGAAATCATCTACTCACAGTATGGTTTTGAACAATATTACTTCAATAACCGATGAATAAAAAAGAAAATATGGGGAAAAAAAGAACCAGGTTCTTGTCTCTCTCTTCATTTATTTATTTTTTTCCCGTATACGTGGTAGTTCTCTGCTGAACGGCCTTGCAAGCTCAAACATTTGGTGAAGAATATCTCCGAAGCAGATCAATTGTGGAAGTATTTTAGAGAAAAGAAAATGAAAGAAAATTCTACCCACATAACTTGCTTCTTGTCCATTTTTTCTTTTTTCAATCATTCAAGAAAGCAAGGGATTTAACACAATCGTACCTTTGCGCAAAGAGAGGAACTTTCATGGTATGTTTTATTACACAAACACTTGAAAAGTTCTAGTTGACTTTGCAATCTTTACAGGAGTCAACTTTGAAGAGACGCAGAAACCCATCCAAGTCGTAGGTTAATATCCATATTTAAGGAAAAAGTAATATGATTAATTAACAAGCAATAATTTAGCATCAAAGCACAAAAAAATATGGAATATTTTCCCAAATATATATAGGACAGCATAATAAATTCTCATGACAGAATCTATTAATTCATTTAACATTGACACAAAAATAAAGATTCAAGAAAAGCAATGGGGCCGGGGGGGGGTGCTTGTTACCTTCCTCCAAGGAAAGCCGAATTGACCTCTTCTCCAGCTCAACAGCATGTCTGCTAAGCTCAACCGAAGAAAGCGAACGAAGCACTGTCCAATTTAAATGAGAAAATCAGTTACCGATTAAAAAGAAAAATTCAAAAGTCTGCTTCATTTGAACGAAAAATCTTACTTTGAACATAATCATCTCGATCTGGTTGATCCACCATTTTTAATAAATTCTGCAATTGGCAATATCGCTCTGTCCAGTGCTTAAAATTCGCTCTCTTTGGGAACAGAGAGTTGGCAGAATTAACACGAACATAGCTAATATTTGTCGGAGATGAGATATTATTGGACTTTCCAGGAGAAGAAACACAATGTTTTGCAGGCAAGCCTGATGCAGAAACCGTCTGAACTGATACAGAATTTGAGATACAAGTCGCAGGCTCCTTTATCTCAGCAATTTGTTCAGTTGTATCACCCTGGTCATTAGATTTCCTTCCATGTGGACGGTCAACAGCATCACTTTGATTGCCACAAAAACTTGTTTTACCTAACTCAGTTTCAGCTTTTCTACGAAAATAGACAATATGGCCATTCCCAGAACTACTTTTGGGAGATTGGAGATCAGAAGGTGAGGGCAAACACCCAGGCATGGGTCTTTCGGTGTCAGAAATCTCAGCATGTTCACCAGTAGGTCGGCTCTCCTTTGTAAATACAGGGTCTCCAATGGATTTTGATTCCACCATTGTCTTCTAATTCTGTGGATCCAACAACGATTTTTCTTGCAGCTGCTGGCACTGACAGTTGCTAATCAAAATTGGGCAAACAAATTTCAACGTCATAAATTCATACTCTCTAAACATAGAATCTCTTGGGTTGAACTACCTGAAATTACTCGTTCTTATAGAGTAAATCTGAAATGGAAATATACTTACTAATATCAAAACAAAAGTCTCCATGAAGGTGGAAATTCATGTTGCTGAGAAAAGAGAAAACTAGAGACATAAAGTATGAAAGTTTAACCTTGTTACTGCAGTATATCTAAGTAGGTTCCTTAAATGTTCAGGTTGTCTTAATTGGATTTTTTTTATCTCATCGCTATGTGTGTTGCCAGGGGGATCAACCAAGAGAGTGATGAAGTTATTTGGCAAGTTTCAAAACAATAACTCTGGCAATGTTCCCAATAAAAAGGCTCAAGGAAGGATATATGAAGGTTGTGCCATCTTGACTGCCAACCTACAATGTCATCACATCTATGACCTAAATCCTTCATATCATTTCCTTAGGTAGTCACTACCTGTGACGCACATCATCAAACCCCAAATGTAGCAAAGATTTGGCAAGTATCAGATAGGGCATGTGCATTGAGTGAACAACATACAGTACCTGGATAGCCGAGAGCTAATATTTGGATGGTAAAAAAGTAAATTTTGGAAATAGATTTTCAGTACAAACTTGGAATTCAGGGATACTAAAGAATCCTAGAATATTAAATGTGATGCATAGAATAAAGTCAATATACCATGCATAAAAGATGTGCAATAGGTAACAAAGAAAATCTATAAACTTCAGTATAAATGCATGGCGAAAAGCAAAAATGGGGAAATTATGTAAATCAAAATATGAAAGAGTACATATAATACCCTAAGGAGTGGAATAACCCTAATTTGGACTTTAGGATGACTTATGACTTTGTGTTTTATTAATACGTGCTTCAACAAGAAAGACTCACTTAAAAAAATTTAGAAGTGAGCAAAGTTTCTTTACAAGAATTTAGAGCTTATAGGGGATAGCTTTTACTTTTGCTTTTACAAAAGAGCTTCCTGCAAAAGCCATCTTGGCTAAAATCTATTCTAAGAAAAAAATCCGAACAGGTTGAAAACAGCTTCTTTGTTCTAGAAATAATTGTTGATTTTTCAAAAGCCCTCCTTAATTCTTTATAGAAGATGGATGTTTTGTTGTGCAGGGATTTTGAATTTTATACCTGGTGAGAGCCAACCGCCATCATAGCCTATGTTGGATATGAAAAGGAAACACAAAAGGTTTCGAGTCTATAAGGAGTAAACAGTGAACAAGTAGGAATACAAGTGCCTTTCAAGGATAAATTTGCGAACAAAGGAAGGTGAGATTTAAATGGAATGATAACTTAATATGGAATCATGTCACTCATTTCATTAGAAATCTAGCAAAGAAAGTTGTAGGAAAATTTTAAAGGTAAAACCCTACCTAATAAAGAACATGATTGTTGAACTAGAAGGTTTAGATGGAAATTAAGGACTTGTCTGGAGCCAATTTTTCGGGGAAAAAAATTGGTTTTCTAACCGTTGGCAGCCAAAACTTTTGACTGCTTCTCTCACGGGTGGAGCTCATGGTCAAAGATAACTGCTCCATTTTTTGTTAAAATTTGTTGAAGCAGCAGCTCCAGACAAGGGCTAAGGAAAATATGCAGAGACTTTTATGAAATATAAGCTAGCAAAATAGGCACAAGAAGGTAATTCAGTAATCCTAAGGAGGAACTTATGATAAGTAAAATGATTATCTTCAGGGACGGATCTAGCCACTCGAGTGAGCTAGGGCGGAGCGTCGAGCGGCCATTGAGCAATCGTCCAATATAGTAAGATTGTTTATTAATATTTAATTAATTTATATTAAAAGAATCTTCAATCAATATATAAATGCACTAAAATATAAAAAATTATATACATATGAAAATATAATTCTATACAACCCAAAATAATAAAGAATAAAAATACATTTTTTTTTTAAATATATACGCATAATCAAGTTTCAAATTTTATGAACTTAAACGAGACATGATAAAGTTTATACATAAAGAGTGATTAAATGATAAATACAATATTTGAGTTTAGGCGAAATCTATTCAAAAATTTTAAAACGGTGAATTTTTTATATATTTTTTACCTTCAAAAAGAAAAGTATTTTTCAAACACTTAAAAAAATAAAGATTAGTATTTAAAATTGTTCAAATTTGAATTAAATTAATAAAATCTAACAATAAAAGTATATATTATAAAGCAATAATTTAAGTCAATAAATTTTTAAAACGGTGATTTTTAGAGCTATTTTTTACCCTCCCCCCACCCCCCCGGAAAAAAGAAAAATATTTTTTGAACTCTTAAATGAATAAAAATCAGTACTTAAATTGTCCAAATTTGAATTTTACAAAATAAATTAATAAAAAAATGGCCTAATAAAATATATATTATGAAATAAAAACTTGAGTTGACAAATTTCTTAAAGGAATTATTTTAGAAACAAAAACTAATAATATAGAATTGTTTAGTTATTATTTATTGCACTAAAAATCAATAGAAGAGTGGAGGTTAGGGGAATTGAACTCCATGCCTCACAAATGCAAAGCTAAAAATTTACCATTTGAGCTATAGCATTTCTGTCCAGGAAAGTAAAAGCTAATTTTATAGAGTTATTTAATTATGTAAACAATACAAAAGATGAAGTGGGGGTGAGAGGAATTGAACTCCATGCCTCTCATTTGCAAAACAAGAGCGCTACCATTAAAGCCACAACCACTATGCTGTGAATGAAGTGAAGTTAAACATATTTACTTTTCTCTGTCCCTGATTATCTTGGAACTAAGATTACAAGATATATCGTGAAAGGGAAAAAACATTATAGATCAATACCAAGTAAAATAAATGTACGAAGCATAGAAACTAAAAAGTACCATTTCATTGTTATTTCAAAAAAATTATTTAATAGACCACAGAGTAGATCTAGGGAAATGGTCAAACTTTATTGAAGATAAAAAAAAGGTAAACTAATCTAGGGAAATGGTCAAACTTTATTGAAGATAAAAAAAAAGATAAAATACACTAGAAGCATCTAGATTTCAAAATTGAAGATTATGGACGATTTCATAACGATGAAAAACAATTAGTTTGGATTAACCCCTCTTATAGTCTAGAAGTGTTTTCACATGGTGGGTACTCATATTTGACAAATTGTTTTAATGGGATCTTAACGAGTAAAAAATGTTTAATGAATGCATGAAAAATTGATATAGTGCTTAGTTTACAAAATAAATAATGTTATATTTACAAGTTTATGTATTATATACACGTATTGAACTTGTAAGCCCTACTTCTCATATAACTAGTTTGGTTTATGCCATAAGGTTTGATTCAATCAGTCATATCAATTGATAGTTTTGGTCGAATAGAGAAGGAAAAAATGACTCATGTAACCAACACCGACGACCATCCTAGTTGGATCCGCCGATATAAAATTTCTTTTGGTATCAATTTATGTATTATATATATATATATATATATAATTTTGTTTTTTTTTCAAGCAATTCTTGTAGCTCAGTTGGTTAGGCACCCATTTAGAAAGTGAAGGCTTGAGTTCAACTCTCTATGAAAGCAATCTATGCAATTATTTTAGTTCGATATTTTTCATCATTTAAAAGCATAGTTATTAAAATTAGTGCAATGTGAAAGATTTGAACTTGTGCTCCCCTTAGAAAATATGGAAACCTTGACCATTATGGCATTTGGTGGATGTTAACACCAAATGTAACAAAAATACATATGTTCAATTAGCAAAGTAATAGATATATTTGATTTTTATTGCGGTAAATTGACGGTCAACGATCAACAGCCGCTATGCTCACTCGAGATCTTGGATCTGCCATTGGTAACCAGTTTCAAGTTTATTTAGAATAATGAGCAGTTTATTGTTGCCACCATAATGGAGTTTCAGCAGATAATTGTGTTTTTTATGTAATGAAAGGGATCATAAAAGCATAAATAGCAGGGCAAGCATGCAGTTCCTTGTACATAAAGAAAGAGCTTGTGTGATTCCTTGCTGACAGCAATGGAGAATGAAGTTGTGCATACATTAGTTTCTTGAATAGCTGAAAAGGTTAAACTTGGTTAACAAAATTTACTAGCACAGAATTGCGGGATCTAATTTTTTCCAATTCAAAGAAACACTCTAGATTTTGGTTAACTGTCCCCTACATTTATATCATTGACTTGTACATTGTATGACTGACACATTCATTTTCTTGAACTCAATTTTGAAAGCTCCATCATCCCTCAAGCAAACCCTCTCAAAGTTTAGCATATCAATGATTCCAAAATGTTCAACATTTAGTCTGAGTGTGTGAGCAAAAACGTTTTCCCTTTCTCCCAAAGGATATCTATATAGATCTTCAAGGTAAATCAAAAATGCAATTTATGTATGACATGTTGAAAAAGAAGAAGAATGCTATGGATGCCATATATAGACACGGCATGGGTTGGTTTGACAAATGAGTGCCACAGTCTAATATCAAACATCAAATCGGAACCTAGTAATGATGCGGAAGCATTGATAAAATTCATATAATAAGAATTGAAATAAGAAATATGTAGGAATAACTTGCTTTTATTGATTGAACAATAATTGATGATGATGACTGTTCATATGAAAATTGTACAATACCTCCTATATTTATAGGCATATTATCCCCCACTCCTAATAGTATTAGGAAATTGAAATAAATGGAAACTATAATCCTAATCAACTAAAATATATAACTCCTATTACATTAAATAGATAAACATAATTAAAAAATAAACTCCTAGGGAACATAATTGTAGTAAAACTCTAGTAGTTGTAATGTACTACATCAATCCCCTCCACTTGAAGAAAAACTCGTCCTCAAGTTTGGTTAAAGAAAAGAAAATCAATTAATCTTGAGGAAAATACTCAAAATTTTTTAATCAATACTGATATTGAAGAAATTTCAATTTCTTGATGGGCTCCATAAACGTTATTTTCTTCAATTTCATTGTTTGAAGGCAATTTTGCTTCCACCATGCTCATCCTATTTTCTTCATTGATAATTCCTACATATCCTTCCTTCATTAACGAAGTATGATTCGATTTCTCTTCCTTTGGTCCATTCTCGTAAATCCGTAATGGCACGGGTTTGCAAAGGTCGTGATTCGTACACCTCACGCCTAGCCCATCAAGCCTTTGTCCTAACTATTGTCATCGTTTGCGATCAACAACGAGCCAGAGTCCTGCAAGCCTACATTGAAGTCTAGACCTATTCTAGTGTGCGTGTTGATGTCCGCTGGAACCCTAGGGGTTTCTCTTGTTAAATCAGTGTCTCCTTCGTCATCGCCAAAATCTGGGTTTTCTTCTTTCTGCCAATCAACTTGTTTGTCGGGTTGTTCCTTCATGGGCTCGCGATTCTTCTCAACCTTGAACACAACCAGCATTTGTGTGATTTTGCAAAGAGTCTCATGCCTACCCAATTGTTCTGCACCGGACTCACAGTGATTCTCAATAGTCATCGCAGTTAGTATCTCCATGATATTGCAAAGAGCTTCTTCCATCCCATCTAGTCCTCGTTCAATTTTTTCAAACCTCCGTTCATTGTCGGTGGTTTTCTTGCCACTTAAACCATCGCCAGCCATCAAATTAAGGTAAGTCCTTGCTCTGATACCAATTTTGGTGCGGAAGCGTTCATAAAATTCTTATAATAAGAATTGAAATAAGAAATATGTAGGAATAACTTGTTTTTAATGATTGAATAATGATTGATGATTGTTCATATGAAAATTGTACAATATCTCTCCTATATTTATAGGCAAATTATCTCCTACTCCTAATAGTATTAGGAAATTGAAATAAATGGAAACTATAATCCTAATCAACTAAAATATAAAAGTCCTAATCAAATAAAATATAAAGTCCTATTACAACTAAATAGATAAACATAATTAAAAGATAAACTCCTAGGAAACATAATTGTAATAAAACTCTAGTAGTTGTGATGTACTACATCAAGTAACTAGAAGACGATTAGATAGACATAAAAGAGAAATAATTACTTGAGTAATAACAATCCTAAGGAGAATAGTAATAGATCTTGATTGATCAGTAAAGAAAGGAAAGAAAAGCATAGTTGAATTTATCTTGACTACTTTGATGTGTGATCCAATGAAAGGATTTTGTTTCTAGTTCTGAAAAATGAGTAGTTGAAAATATGGTGCAACCATAATGACAAAGGAAAATAATTTATGAAGAATTTAAGCAATGTTTTGTGGCTTTAAATTAAGCCTGGGACTTGGAATTGACGGAAAATCAATTAGATCTGAAAGATGCCCTTGCAAAATCCCCAAAATGTCATCTAACCAATGCAGCTTCAGACAGAGCAATGAATATTATCAACAGAAAAGTGCAATGTGGAATGTTATTTAGGTGAAACTAAATTTCCTAATAAGGTCCTATGCCGGAAAAATCTAAGAGAATTAGCATTTTTATATTGATACAAGATACAGTCGTCTACTGGCAATTCTGATAATCGTGTATAAAATTCCCGCAACTATATAATGGACACAAGAATCTGAAACATTTCAATTTTACAGCATTTAATTAATTAATCCTGTCACAACAAATCAGCCAAAACATTAGAATGATTCATAAAATTCCTTAATCCAGTTCCGAATAAAAAATGAAATCGACCCAATCACAAATATGTCGGATCAAAATTTGCAGATTTTAGTAATCTAAAGATTAATTCAATTCGAAGAATGACAAAAAATATAAATATAAATACCTGAAATTGAATGAATAAAATGTAATTGATATTTGCCGTAATATACAAATTCACTCCGCAACCCTAACCGCGGTTCCTTGTGACTGGAATTTTCCTGTCTATGATAGCAATGAATCCAGAGGAGTTGGCTCGACTATTCAATCGACACAGTTAGACGATCAGCATGAATCCATCACGGTTCATGAGGAAGGGTTTGATGTTTGAGAGTAATTTGGAAGATTGAGGATAAAGGGTCACGCACAATCTCGTTGCATTTCACTGGGAGAGCAAGGACGATACACAGCGGGTCCCACTAGTAGAGGATCATGCTTCTTTTAATAAGCCCGCGGGTAATGTTCTGTGGATTGTATAATCATTTTTGCGCAAGGTAAGGTGGATATGATACTCACGCGCACTCATTTTATATATATGAATTTTTACAAAATTTTTACAAATTTGTACGTGTTATAAAAAAATTGAAAGAGAGAGAGAGAGAGAGAGAGAGTACATAAATCAATAAACTCATGTATTATATTAAAACCAAAGTCTCCAGATTTATAAAGAAAAATTAGGGATACAATAACAATAAAAATTTAAAATACAGGATTATAATTATCATTCACTAATAATCATATTATTTGCATCACTCCCTCTTGAATGATACATTACAAAATATTTGAATCGTTAAAATTTTATCAAGAAAACCCAGTAAGACAAATTTTGATTAAATAAATAGGAGTACAATTGCTCCCCCTAATTTCAATTATTATATCAATTCATTCTTGTCTTGTACGTCAATATCTTCAATATTACAATTTTCGGTGAAAAATGTCTTATATTGTCTTATATAGTTTTTAAATAATATCATCTTCATACGAGATACTTATCAACTTTTGATGAATGTGGTAAGATAACGATTCGAACATAGCTTTTGTGGGTCTCTTTGGGAGTCGCACACATATTAGAGTATTAATCTAGGGTGAATGTCTAATATATTATGGATATTCATTATACAAAGAGTATACCTCTTTAAAACCTTATTAGAAAAAAATCCCGTGAAAAAATTCTAATGAATGAAAAGGAGTACATTATTCATTTAAGTATGCTACAAAAGTTGTCTAACTAAAAATTTTGTTAGAAAAATTCAATAGGACAAAACATTGATCAAAGAAAAAAGTATAATGTGTATATATTCACCCTCGTTATAATATGAATTGAATCATATTTCAGACATATATCAATAGTTGATAAAGACGAGTTGACTATAATGAATTTCAAATTTTATGCATTATCAAGATAACACACAATCTTTGTGAAATTCACAATGTTGAGAATCATCCATTACATATTTTGACTTTATTTTCTCAAGTGTATCCACAAATTCACATATCAAAATGAACTAGTTCAAAATAAATCTTTAACTCTATCTTTTTTTTTTTTATCAAAAATGGATATCTTAGTTATATTGTCTTCCAAACAAGAATCACAAACTAACAATGATTCGATCTTAATCGAGTTGAGGGGACCATTTCTAATCAGTTTTTATATTCTGTTAAGGTTAATTTGTCCAAGACACAATAGATATGTTTCACTAGTATGGTGCAATTTTTATGGTTTAAATGAGTAACTTTTTATTTCATATATAAAATATTTATAAATATAAAGACTATTAATCAAATGTCTAGTACAACCAAAAATTTTATTCACTAAAATGCTAAGCATATATATGCTGATTTTATAGAATAACATTGTTTTATTAAATCGAAAAACATAAATCAAAATTTTGTTTCATTCGTGAGACATTAAAATGGTTTTTAAGAATCAAACATCTACAACTATTGAAATAAAACAAAATACTCATATGCTCTTGTACCAATGATATTTTAAATTGGTCTTTACTGAGTTTTTGGCTTTCCCAAAGCACCCTCATCGATATGCAGATATTATTAGTAGTTCCAAAATCTATAACTAGGAAATTTATAGTTTCAACCACTAAATAATACTCAATAACGAAAACCACACCTACACTTTGCTTTATAGCTAGTGCATCTAGGCAACCTCCTCCAATGTCATTTTTTATCGTGGTTGAAACACATACCTTTCGACTTTTCATTTATTTTGGGCCTCTTGTTGCTTTCACGCTTTTTGTTAGCTTTATTCCTCTGATTCCAAGTCGAAAGTTCCAAATCTCCCTTTCAACTTGGAATCAAAGGACTACCAGATGATGCACGAGCATCGCTATTATACTCTTAAGACAATTTTTCCACATAGCAATTCTATCATGAACTCATTTAATGGTATCTTCATCTTGAGGAAGTGATAGTTCATAATAAATTATGAAAAATTATCAGGTAAAGAATTCAATACCATGTTAAACTAAGTCTCCTTGATAGATGGTTCATAGAGACTCTTAGCCATCTTTGAAGTATGCAATCATAGTCAAACTATGAAACTTTACAGGCACTTTAAATTTCATGCGGATGTTCTACAAGGTACAAATGACTTCAAAATAGCCTTCTTACTTCAATGACCAAACATGCCCTAAAAGGTTCATAGTATGTTATAGGAGGCACTCTGACTTTCAAGCATTTTGTTGTAACACATTTGATATCAAAGCTAAAATGTAACAATGAGCTATCTTGTCTATTTTCTCCCACTCGACATATACAGTTTTTTGGACTTGTCACTTGGTCTTAGTAGGTCCATCAAGAGATTCCTCAAGCATAAAATTAATTTTTTTCTCATTGGGCAGAAACATCAAATTACGTTTTCAATCCAATTAATTTTTCCTCATAAATTGGTTTTGTATTAGAATTAACAAAAAGTGGACCAATTGATATTTTGCATAAAATTGAATAGCAAATAACAATTTAGCATATGATGCATGAATGCACATGTAGATCCCTCTAACTACAATAATGCAAAGACTACTTGATCCTTATGATCCAACAGGTCCCTCTATAGGAAATGTCATTGTGTTCATTAATCAAGTTAAGACCTTCTCACTAGACAAATCATAGCTAACAACAAATATCTATGTAAGTCTAGTATCATTTTATTTATTTAGTTACCAAGATCATAAACAAGAGCCTCTATAGGAGGTTCGTAGAGGATCTCGATTGACATATATAACCTTTATCTAGATCTCTAGATATTTGAAAATAATTTCGTCATCTATAGGATGATCACAAATTACTTAAGAGTGTTCTTGTCTTTTAATTAACCAAAAACCATTGTGGTGAATGGCAAAATTTTTTGGCTGAAGTGGAAAATTAACTTTTGGACTTGCCTATTTTAAAAAGTACCCCCCTCTAAACTTCACATATCTATATAGATACCAATATATAGAGAGTTAAGGAGGGGTTAGGTAAGGTGGAATGGAGTGGAGCTGAGGGCTAGTTTCTTTGTTAATTGGAATTTTTGGTTTGGGGGTTTGGAATTAGGGTTTCCAATTGGGGATTCTAATTTTAGGATTTTGATTTGAGGAAGAGAAGTTTGTTTGGTTGGGATCATTTTCGGTGACATGAACATGGTTAACGTTATTAACATGCCACGTAGGATTATCATTTGACATATGCAATTTTTCATCCGCGATTTTAAAAAGCTAGTTGACCAATTATGAATGAGTAATTATATGAAAAGATGAGTGAATATTGGGTAACCATTAATGATAAGTTAGTAAGTAGTAACAGTTTAATAAGAATTGATTAAATTTACTCATTATTAAAATTTTGTTGTCCAAAAAATTCATAATGATGGTGGCCCAATTTTCCATAATTTAAAGCAATAAACTCCAACAAAAATTGCCAATCTGGACGACTGCAGTCCGATGTTGTTTTATTTTATAAATTCTTGAATTCTTCATTATCGTTATCTTTAATCAATTTACAAGATTCAAAAATTACAAGAATTGAAAATTTACATAAATCTTTTGTCCCATAGGCTCATAATTTCGAATTTAATTGAAAAGAAAATAAATCAAAAATGGTGGAGTCGTAATCCACTTATCTTGTAACAAACTCAAAATAACAAATTACATGAAAAACTGGCCGCAAATAATTAGATCAAAATTTAAAATAAATCAATCATTCAATCAACATATAATAAATTATTTGTAGACATCCGCTAGACTAGAAATTACCATCAAGATTCAAAATAACAAGCACGTAAACGATATAGATTGTTCTAATACAAGTTTTTGGAATTTGGAATTAGAATTACCCAAAAAAAAAATTTCAAAAAAAATCTTTTATTTAATAACAAGATCGTCTAAATGTTTACTTGTATGTTATATCAAGAATAAAGGATTCAAACTTCACCTAAATTCGATGGTCGATTCCTAAATTGATTTTGATCACGAACTTTCAACATTTTAGATTACAAGTTTCCAACATTTTAATTCCAAAAGCTTGATACTTCAAATTTCCAAGTCTTTTATAATATTCTTTAAAGTTAATACTACTCTGATGGGTAGGCATATTCTTTTAATTAAATTAAGAAACTAATTTTTAAATTGAACAATTGAATAAAGTAAGAAAATAATTTTCTCTCTCCAAATTGAACATTATAAAATTATGTATTATGATTGTTCAGGGGTTTTTGTATCTATCGAGTCTCAACTTATAGAGATAAAAATGCTTCAATTCATGTCCAATAATAATTTTAAATTCAAATTGAAGTCTTAATTAAAATCTAAGTAAGAGTTTTAATTAAAGTTCACATCTAATTAATTTACATCTAATTACATCTGTAGTCCTAAAAATTCAATTACAATTATAATTAAGTTTACAACATTCATATCAATTACAATTAAGTACAAAATTTTATTGTAATTACAATTAAGCCTAAAACTTTTATAATAATTGCAATTAAGTTTCAGTACTTAATAGAGTTACTACAGGGACCTAATCGAACATATATCATCCAATATCCGTCCGGGAACAACAACGAGAGAGGGCTCGTAGCCCCCCTCCCCCTCTCTCTTCCCCGTGCAAGCCTTTCGTTCTTCCCATAGAACTAAATGAAGTCTATGAAAGTTACTATTGGAACCACCAATCCCTTGCAACATCGAAATCTCACTCACTATTCGCGTTTCAATGCTAAATGGGAGCCTAGTTCAATGGCAGCTTTATTCTTAAACAGGGACGTGCTGCTAACTTCCTTTATCTGTATCCATACCACGTTTGGGTCGGTACTTTGGTCTGGACATCCCCCTTCCTCCTAGGATGCCTAGATAGTGAAAGGTTATCCCTTTGCAACATTGGAAGCTAAGCAAT